CAAGTATTACCAAGAGACAGGTACATGGAGATTCTGCATTCCCTTGATTAGATGGGAAAACAAGAGACAACAGTCATCAGCACTGTACTCTCATTACATGGGTACTGCACTAACTATAGCAGGAATTCAATCTGTCCTCTACCCGTGGCTCCAGCATATTGGAAATGCCATGAGGTCTGGGTTTGGAGATCCACAGGCTGCTTCTATTGGACAATCAAGTTTGTTCTGTATTCTTTGTAGAGCTCCAGAACTAGAACAATATTCCTGGCATCCCTTGGATGTCTAAATGAAGGCTCATCACCTTCTCTTTCTTTTGGCTTCTCACTCCTTTTATGCCAACATCTTGGCATAAAAACCTTGTTGCTACAATGATGCCTAAGGTTTCATTTTTGGTTTGGTTGGTTTTTTGTTTTTATTTTTGGAAGAAGTTTCTATTAGCCAATTGATCAATACGTAATTTTAAGCTCATTTCTGGGAGGTTTTTGGATGATGCTTGGGATCAGCATTAAGTCCCTTCTCCGTGCCAGTCACAGTGCAATTTTGAAATAACAATGATTCAAGACATGCTGAAAAGACAGCAGATTTTGAGACGAAAGCTGAAAGTTTTTGAGTTCTCTAGGCCTAGGAGCTACTTGGGAAGGCATTTTTGGAGACAGGGATGTTTCAGGCTCCCATAACCAAGACTAATGCTTGGTCATAAAAGCACATCATGAGAGAAGGTTCTTATCTCAAAGAACTGATCAAGTAAGTAGGCAAGGCTGGAAAAAGGTGGGTCTAGAAGCAAAGAGGACTCAATTCAGATGCCTGTACATGGATAGGTGTCCAGTGCCACTGGAGATGCCTTAAGATAGCTCTGATATCCACATGGATCTCACAGATACGACACAGAACTTGCAGGAATCCTTTGCCTACCAGAACAGCGGGAGCTCAGGTGAGATACCTTGGGGCACGCTGAACGTCAGCACATTCCTCTGTGTGGACAGCTGGATCAGCCTTTAAAACTCCCTTAAGCCTTGCAGAAGTTCATTAGGTGTAGACACCTACGTTTAGGGCTTTTATTAGATGGTTCACACTTGAAATTAATGGCCCAAGGTCACACATCAGCCCAAGAGCCAGAAGTACCCTAGTTTGTACCCAGATGGATGGAACATGGCAGATTTGGCTCTCCACTCACTGCAAGTCACCTTCACCACACTCCTGTTGGAGAGACAAGGTTTCCTTCTCCTTCACAGCTCTGGGAACTGAGGCATGGAGAGGCTGAAATGACTCTTCTGAGACCCCCATGGGTTAATTAAACTGAAAAATCTGTGCAGGTAAAATTAAAATACTGGGGTTTGAGACTGTAATTTACACGAGAGTTGATGCAATCTCCCAGTCCTATGCACAGAGACAGTCTGCTCAGTACCTCTGCCAAAAATCCCTTCCTGTAATCTCTTCTAAACCTTTCAAGGTCTGTGCAGTTGATTGCATGGTGCGTAAGTGAGGCAATCAAGAAACAGAATCCCTGTGCCAGAAGCATCTTCAGTTGCTTCACTGGGCCTCTTAAGGGCTTCTTTCTGCTATGAGTTTGGATTTTTTCATGCACAAGAGCTTTGTGGACTAGACCCAGATGAACTGGAAAGTTTGGTGAGGTCTTCCAAGTGTTTTAGTGGTGGCTGATTGTCACCTGAAACCACTGTATTTCCCCAGAAACATATATAATCTGGTAATTGCATATTAGCAAAACTAACTCAGCCATTCAATTATTATTCTGTGGGAAATTCTACTGCTGTGAAAACATATATTATTGTGTTCCTCATTGTTGAGAGAGTACTCATAAAACCAGCTGTCATTTATTTCTGTTGCGAGCAATTGAGAGCTGAGGTGGTTGTTAAAAGGCATGAATTAGGGAAGATGACATGAACCTCCCTTGGCAATATATTCACAAACATACCATTTCAGGAGTTCAGAGCTTGCTCTGGAGCACATTTGCCAAGGACCAAGGTAGTGCTTCATTTGCTGGAAGTGTTAACAATACGATGCTTGAACTTCTCCTGACTTGTAAATGTGTTATCCCATAAGCAGCTTGTTTAGCAAGAGTGCAGATGTAGATATGAGCTGAGTAAGAGATCTGTGGGTTTGTCACCTTCCTTCCTGTTCTGTGGCATCCTCAGCCCTGATATTTACCTCTCAATGAAGCCAGTTCCATACGTAAGTTACCAGTATTTTTTATTATACACTACATCTGAATATCTGCATGCATCAAACACTTGAGCAGTTTGATGATCCACTTGAATTGCATAGGAAGTGAATTTGATGCCATTCAGGAGTTCCAAGGGCCAGGTATGTGCAAGTTTTGAGAAGGTATCTGGCCATATAAAATCTTTAAGTGTGTGCTGGTAGCTAAGGTTGTGGTGCCTTAAATGGTTAGATGTTCTTTGACCCAGCTTGAAATTCCTGCTGCTATTATTTGGTGTTTTGTTGATTTGACCAGGTTGGTGATATCACTTGAAAATGTGTTCTGCTGCAGAAGGGATCAGAGAATCACAGAATGGTTTTGGGATAGAAGGGACTTTAATCATCTTCTACTTGGAGAAGAGAAGGCTTTGGCTCTCCCTTTTTGTCCCTGAAGGGAGCCTACAGGGAAGATGGAGAGAGACTCTAGACAGGGGCCCGAAGTGACAGGACAAGGGGCAATGGCTTCACACTGGCAGAAAGCAGGTTTAGATTGGATATTGGAAAGAAATTCTTCCCTGTGAGGATGGTGAGACCCTGGCACAGGTTGGCCAGAGCAGCTCTGGCTGCCCCATCCCTGGAAGTGTCCAAGGCTAGGCTGGATGAGGCTCTGAGCAAGTTGGGCTAGTGGAAGGTGTCCATGCCCATAGTAGGGGGTGGAACTAGATGATCTTAAAGGTCTCTTCCAACCCAAACCATTCTGTGGTTCTGTAATGTGCCAAGTCTCTGCTGTGGGGTTCAGAGCAGCACCATGACGTAGCCTGTGTATCCAGATGAGAATGGTCCCCTGCTCCTTGCCTTTCTCAAGCATTAGAACAGGTGTCCTTTGGTAATTTGTGATTTTAGTACAGCTCTGGTTGGAAGCAACAGCAATCACAGGACCAAAAAGCTAAAAGCTGCAGAGTCTAGAAGCCCTCAGGATTGTTTTACTGCTGGTACTTGCTATTGATAATGATTTTGTGGCAATCACCTCTAAACTATGCTGGAGATAGCCAGGGTTTTCACTGGTTAATATATTTTTTAATCTCTGATGGAGTTGTCTGAGCTGTCACACATTCTACATAACTGAGTTCCTTATTACTGTGCCTGTCACTCATGTCCCTGCAATCCCCTTTTTTCTTGCCAAATCACTGAATGAAAAACCCAATTCATTCTGGCACTAAGAGCTCCCCCAATACTATTTCAGTGAAGGAGCAAGGTCGGGGGTTATTTTTCTACTGAGTTCTTGCTGGAAGTGAAAGCCCTGAAGCTTTTGTGTGCAGTCCCTGCGGAGCTGCCCTCACAGTTGTGCTGACATTCATCAAAGGACATCCATTCCTGGAGTGTAAAAGTACCACGTTGCTGAGGACATCTCTCCATCTGCCAGCCATGCCAGTGAACATCTGCAACAGTACCACAGGGAATACTTCAGGAAGAGGGAAGGTTTCAAAAAATAAAAAAAAGTTTCATGATATTAAAAAAAAAAAATCCAGTTTATGTGAACAATGAAATAGTTTGCCCCAAATTAAATTTGTGAAAATTCACTGCAGGTGATTATTTTTTCACTAGGGTAAAAAACATTTGATGCAAAAGTTGTGTGTCTGTCATTCTGAGTCTTATACATCAATATAAATAACTCAACAAACATTACTTAAACTACCAGATGGATATAATAAAATCTAGTCCCATCTACATGTGATAGATAGAAAGGACTGGTCTGATTTATCACTTCCATTGATTCACACAGATAAATCACTGAACCCTTTTTAGGACTGGGGCACCAAAAATATAGAAATAAAACATACTGGTTCATGAGCAATTAGAAAACTTCAAGGAAAGGTCTTTATAGAAAGCTCTGCAAGAAAGAAGAAAAAAAAAACCCAACAACAACAAAAAGTGTGTAAAGTTCACTGTGATTGTGAAATTCATTATAATCGTAAAGTCCACAATAATTGTCTCCCTGACCCTGGGTCAGCAAAAACTCAGTATGCTACCAAAGGTCAGTCAAACACTCTTCTAGACTGGATTGCCCTTCTAACCCCCTGACCCCCCAGATTCAAAACCTTCATCCTAAAATATTTTTTCCCAAAAATATTTGTTTAAATTTTTCCATGGTTTCCATAAATCATAGAAATGCAGTAGCTGTCCAGCAGCATCCGCACATGATGTCTTTCAATGAAAAACTTCCAGCACATGATCTGCCTAATTCCTAAAGCTGCTTTGAAAAGCTAATCTTTGGTGCTTTGCCCTTCAAAAAGGTTTGTCATGGATCTGGTGACAGACACAACGCAGTGGTATGAGAAATGGTGCTACCCTCTAGTTTATTTGGAGTTTGCTAATAACCTATGCCCACTGGGAAAAGAAGAGGATGTATCCACACCCCAGCTGGCCCCAGGTGACCAAGCTGAACCCTATCACTTGGCTTTGGGCTGTTTCTTGGAGGGTGGGGGTCCAGGGTCCTGGTTCTGTACTGGTCCCCCCACATGGGACAGAATCACTGCAGCTCTCTGCATTTTCCCTTGATGCAGTTGCTGGAGATCACTCGGTATCTCTGTCACACCCCTCCAGATATTCTCCTGTCATTATAAACAGTGACTCCCCCAGGGACACAGGCTGGATATGAGGCGATGACTCCAGCTGAGTTTTCCCTGTCTTGAGTGAGTGCAAGTGAGTGAGTGTGAGTGTGAATGAGAGTGAATGTGAGTGTGTGTGTGTGAGTGAGTGTGAGTGTGAGTGTGAGTGTGTGAGTGTGAGTGTGTGAGTGTGAGTGACTGTGAGTGTGAGTGAGTGAGTGTGTGTGAGTGTGAGTGTGAGTGAGTGAGTGTTCTCTGCCCCCTCATTTGGTGGTCTGGGCCTATTTTGAGCACACAAAAGGCTTGCTGTCAGCCCCTTGTGCTGGTCTGAAGGAGTGCTCCAAACAGACTGCTTTCCAGCTGTGATCCCTCGTCTTTTACTGTCTGCAAAGCTGTCATGGCATCCTGAAGAAACCTGCAGAAGAAATACTGGCCCGGTTCCCACTTGGCACTGGCCAAGTTCCCACTCCCCGAGCCTGGCACTAAAGGTCAGTGGTTCACTCCTGTGGAATGCCAGGAATCTTCTGTATTCGTTTCCCTCTTCTTTCCAGTCCCCTAATCTGATAAACCGTGTGGGGAGAGGCAAGGGAGGGCGGGGAGGAGTATGTGATGTAACCTCTATTCCGGCAAAGTTGCGTGACAACCCCACGGTGCCTGCGGCTCGCGGTGGGGTTTTGGTGGCTGCCGCTGGGAGACTGAAGAAGAAGGCCTGGAGATCCACCACGGCTGTGGGAGACCTCGCAGGGGATGCACTCACCTCCCTTGTGGAGAGGACGGCTGAGCGCAGCCTGCAGCTCCTTGTCTTGCCGGCTCCACCTGCGCCGCGACCGGCTGGGGACAGCCCTGGAAAAAGGGATGCTCGGAGACGGCTGCGCTGCTGCGGTGAGTCTGATCCTCCTTCCTGCCTTTTCCCGACGGTTTTGGGGGGAAGGAAGGGAAATGGAGCGAGCTGGAGTGCGTGTGGATTTTTTGGGGACTTGTAACCGTGTGGAATCCCTGTGGGATTGACTCTGAGCCCGTGGATAATCGCCGACTAATCTGGGCGCTGGCAGAGTCCATCCGGATTACAAGGGCATGTGGCTCCGGGTCAGGATGGGTGTGACACCTCCCAGGGGTCTCCGGCTTCGTGTCAGAGGAACACCCCAAAAATGAGGTTGGCTGCAAGGATTAACTGCAAAAGAGAAAGCTGGGGGTGTCTGTCACCGACACGATGTTGGGCATGGGTGTCACAGTCTGTGAGGAGGGGGGTCAAAGGAGAAAATGTGCTTTTCTCAGTGCCAGCAGGAGATGTAACTGGGAGGAAGCTGGTCCTGTGTATTTGCTAATGGAGAGAATTGGATCAGGTAGTTCAAGCTGTTGAAACTAACTGCAGAAAAGTGTTTTCTAGGAGAACTTCCAAGTGCCTTTGAAAACATCTCCCTGCTAAAGGAAAGAAGGGAAGAGGAGGATCATCATAATATGTATGAATATTCTATTTTATATACTATATTACAGAATCTATACAAGATGAAACAAAATTAATGTATAAACTGGGGCCTCATAAAACCAAACAATCTGTTAACACCTCTGGAGCTGCAGCAGTGCTGAATGAATCCCTAGCTGCCTTCCAGCACTAGAATATCCAATACTACCTGCGTAAGGATGCAATTAAGACACTTGGTGTATGTCCTCACATGAATATTGTGCCTACACTGCTTTAGGACAGAATGCCATGTGACTGATTTCTCAGTGGTACCGGCAGTTACCTCCTGGATCTGGCAGATCACATGCAGCTGCTCAGAGCATTTTTTAGAAGTGAAAACTCCATGAAATATCAAAATCTGGAAATTAAATAATAAGTCATTTAAATTTATAAATAAATAAAATCTGGAAGTTAAATAGCTAATAATTATGGCCTGGAGGGGGTTCTCTTTCTTCCTTTTTTAAAGGGGACTTTAATCCTAGTCTAAAAGTTAAATTTTTGGAAAACAAACTATTGTCCTTTCATTAGCTGTAGTTCTGAGCCTTTGTCTAAAGAGCCTCCTCATTCCTGACTCAGTCAAGTAAATTTCTTTCCAGAACTTGGGATGACTTCAACTTGGCAGAAAGCTCAGGAATTCTACAACTGGATTCTTGAAAGTGGAGGTAGGTAGGGATGCTGTCTAAAATGGGAATTTCTGCATAAACAGCATGATCATGAAAACCAAACCTAGAAGGAATGCAATCCTTACACTAGTCCACATTTTCTTCACTAAGCAGATTTCCACTTTTCCTTCTCCATGATCACAAACATTCCTGAAGTCTTGAAATATATCTCATTCACCCTTCAGTTGGATCACAGTAAGGAACGAAAGGATGGGGAATTTCCCAGTGGGCTCTGACAAGACGAGAAGCAATAAATGTTTGGGATTGCCTGTTGAGTCTGGAGTACTAAAGGAAGTGATTTTTTTAAATGCATATTCATAGGTCATGGGAAAGCTTACTTGGCCAAAGAGTTAATACTTTGGGGTTTAAACTCTTTGTGATGTCAGGAAAACCTGTTATCAGATGAAATACTGGCAGTAACCACTCCTCAGTGCTTGAGATTTGACAGCTTGTAATGAGGAGGCATCAGATTTTCAGTAGTTAAAGGCTCAGTTTGGTCCCAAACGGCTCTGATGTATCTCTGGATGTAAAAAAAAGCCACAAAATGCCATCAAGGTAGAACAGCAGGCTTGCAGGAGGAGGATGTGAGGCATAATGCTCAGACTTTACATAATGCTCAGTAAATGTTTCAGGACTTGAATTTCACAAGAGAGTGTAAATTGGGATTCAGGACTTCTGATGAACTGCTAAATCTAGAAATGGACTACCAAAGAGCTCCTGACACAGCCCATAATGGCCATCATAAAGAACTGGAAGGTTTAGAAGGGAGGGGGATTAACAGTTGTCCAGACTGGTATGGCATTTATAAAAAAATGAAGGAGTTCAACAGAGCAGTGATCACACAGGAAAGGAAAGCATGAATGGTAGCTGGGATGTTTTTGCTGATACAACATATCCTGGGTGATAGCAGGATTAGGAGGAGGTAGCATGACAGAAAATCTCTTGAGTTTCCCTTTGCTGTAGGACCAAAGAGCTGTTTCAGCAGGGATAAGTGTATTGGCATTTCCTAGCGAATTCATGCTTCTTAAGAGAGCCCACTGTATGAGTAGATATAAAAATGAAGGAGTGGAGAATTTCAGCTATCCTGAGGATTGTAAGGAAGTAACACCAGTGATTGAAACACTTTTATTATTTAGCTGTAAAGATTTACACTCCTGAGGAGCCACTGTTGCTTTGGCTGCTCCTGTGCCTCCCCACACAGTGTCTGGGATCTCTCCTTTCACCCAGGGAGGGCTCCAGCTCATCCCAGGAAAGATCTGCCTTCCAGCACTGCAGTCCATACCCAAAAATTGGGCTAAAGCCTTTACGCTAAAGCCTTTTGGCAGAGTCAGAGAAGAAGAACTGAGGTGCAGCTTTGCAAAGACACAAAGACATCAATTTTCTTTCTGCAACGAGTGCGCTGAAGGGAAGTAATGAACTACAATTAAATATATCCAACCTGCACTGTGTGGAGGTGCCAGCTGTGGCTGTTTTGCTTCTCAGATCCAAGGACAGACCCGTGGCCACTGGTCTACTCCCCTCTTCCAGTGACCCTGGTCTTCATCTCCTATCTCTTCATGGTGGCACTGGGACCATCCTGCATGCGGCAGCGGTGGCAGCTGGAGCTGAGGGCTCCGCTACTCATCTACAACCTGGCCATGGTGGCATTATCTAGCTACATGTTCTACGAGGTAAGGAGGCAGGACTGGCTCCTAGGTAAGCACCTGAGAAGGGATTGAATTCCAGAGCCTCCAGATTCCAGGGTTTGAACAGTTTTGCTGATGGACTCCGCTGAAGGGAGTAGGAGCTGGCTTGGACATGTCCATGTTTTACCACAAGAGGAGCAGTATTGTCCTGCTCTGCTTGATTTCCTCCCATTTCTCAATCCTCCTTCCATTCACTAAATTAACGCAGGATTTCATTAATCCTGAATGAATGAATTGCAAGTTGAAAATTCCCTATTCGGCACAGAGTGTGTGGAGGATGTAGAACTGCCTCATTTCACCTCAAGTCTGGCTGGTGATGGATCCATCTCTGAAGATGAGAACCACTGAACTAGTGGAAGGTGTCCCTGCCCAAGGCAGGGGATTGGGACTGGGTGATCTTTGAGGTCCTTTCCAACCCCTTAACATTCTATGATTTTCCAAAGTTGGCAGTTTTCTCCTGGAGTGCCAAATACTCTCTGTCTTCCTGCTGCTGAGAGTGCTAAGAACTTTTTTTCCTGCTTGTTCTTAATGCATAAGCCTTTCCACAAGCCTGTTCCCCCTAGTTTATGTAGGCCACTGAAAACTCTTTGTGGGAACATGGCCAAATAGGTTTCAAAAACATTTTGATGCCTACAAATATGCCCTTTTAATTTGTATCACAAGTGTCACATTAACACAAATTGCTTTTGGTTTTTTTTTGAACAAGTGCTGCTCTGTCTGAGGACAGATGTGCAAATTGCTTTTCTGTGCTTGATTGTTCAGTTGTATTGGTTACTTGGTCTCGTTTTTGGCTTTACAATGAACAGGGAAATGCAACCTACCAAAACAGAACAGGCTGGGATCTTTGCAAAGGAGAACAGAGTCTCTCAGAAAGACTCAGCAGCCTAGAATTCAGTATTCTGATGAAGTAGTTTTGAGCCCTCCAGTGATTACACAAAGAGTTACAAGTCTTCCCAGGACAGATTTGCTTTTTTTTTTTTTATTTCAACCAGGATGTGAAGCACTTTGTTTTAGGTTTTTACTATTTATCCATGGATTTTCTGACAGCAACTATAAGACTGAGACCCTACCTTAGCATTAATATGCCCATCTTTTTTGGAACACATGGCATTGAACAAAAAATTGATTTCTATTTGCTTTTTGTCTGTTTCAGTTTCTGGTCACTTCAGTCTTGGCCAACTACAGCTACCTGTGCCAGCCAGTGGATTACAGCCGGAGTGAGCTGGGAATGAGGGTACAGTTCTGGAGAAAGCTTGCCTTAGGCCCTGCCCTCCTGTGGCTGTGCAGATTCTTTTGCAAATAGCAATTTGCATGGCTAGGAAGGCTTTGACTCCAGTTGGTTGTTACCTGTAAATCTGTTCCACTAAATTGTCTCCTTCAACAGTTGTTGCACTTTGTTTTAGTTCTCTAAAATTAATCATCTCAGTCAACCCAGCCATCTAAGCTTTTTCTTTGACCACTGCAGAGAGGGTGATCTATCAATTTTGCATATTGATTATTGAAATAGCTGTGATTCTTTGCATGGATTATAACGATTCTGGGTGAAAACTGATCTTTATATCCTCTGCTTTGTATGACAGAAATCTAACTCAGCCCTTCTTTTAGCAGAGGGGTTTAGCTAAAACTATTCCTTGGTCATCACAGGGGTTTAGGTCCCACCAGCGTCAGCTTTCCAAAAAAGCTGCATGAGTTTTTTCTCTTTGGAATTTGGAATTACGATGCCTTGCTTTGAAGAGATGCAGGCATCATATTATCTTTTTGCTTTCTCAGAGTCTTGCCATCTGGACAAAAAAAAAAAAAAAAAGGAAACCCTTAATTTTACCCCCTTGCTGCAGACCCCGGGTGGGCAGGGATACAGCGTGGTTGAAAATGTGTTGATTTTGGGTAAAGCTCTAACCGCTGTGCCTTGTGCTGCCCAGCAGATGGCAAGAGTGTGTTGGTGGTTCTTCTTCTCCAAAGTCATCGAGCTGCTGGATACGGTAAGGAGGGCTCAGCTCCTCAGCGGGACCGGGGCTGGACACAGATACTTCTTTGGCAGAAAGGGGAAGCATGCCAGAACTAATGTCCTGGGCTGATCCTGTATTGATTTGCTGCTTGTCTCCATCTCTTGGCTGTACACATTCCCTCCCCAGCACACTTCCTGAGGCTGGGCACAATGCTAGGGGAGAGGCTTTACCCCCCTGGCTGCGCCAGGTGGGTCCCCAAAATTTTAGCTGCTGGTGCCACACAGGTTCTGCTATTGCCTGGCTGGCTGATTAACAGTGGGGCAGAAAAGGAGCTGGACAAGTCCTGGCATCTCTGCTGCCATGGATTTTCCCAGAGCTCTGCACTAAAGGTTTGTGTCCTGGGGGAATTGCAAGTCCACCTCTTTACAGCTTGTCTTCAGGTATCCTTCTGCACTGTAAATGAATGAAGTGACTGAACAAGGCCTCTGCTTGGCCAGCAGAAGACAGCTGTGTCCTAGCCTGAAATTTCACAGCTCTCTGCGGTATAAGTTGACAACCCACTGAAATGTGAATAAACATGTAGATCCTTCCTAGGCCTATTGCCAGGGTTTTGGTCAATCCCCTCTCTGTTTGCATCAGCAACAAGAGCAGGTTTTTGCCAGTCCTGAGTGCCTGAAAAGCAGATTCACTGTTTGTTGTGTGTGTGTATCAATGTGCATGGTGAAATGCAGTGACCTGACACGTATTCATCTGGCAAAACCATTCTCTTTACTAATACAAATTCCAGGAGGATTTGGCCATTCAACAGAGTGGATTTTTTGTGGGTTATTTTCTGGTAGTAAATATAGAACCTATGTCCTGAACAGGAGCAGATCCAAGCAGCTGTGAATTGTATGGAAGCTCAGTCAGAGTCTCAGAAGATGTGTCCTCTTTGGACCTTGGGCCCTGAATCCAGACGTAAAAATATTTGGGGCTTCGTGGAAGAAATTCTGTCTTCTAGCTCCCCCTATAACTTCACCAGTTTTTGTCAACAGCAGAGGAAATGGGTTTAGGAGATTCAGACTCATCATTAGCTATTTTTATAACTTTTTACTGTGAAATTTTTGTCTAAACACATTGACTCAAGATTTTCCTTTTCCTGGCTTCTTTCAGGTTTTCTTAATTCTGCGCAAGAAACAAGAGCAGGTGACTTTTCTGCACGTGTACCATCATGGGTCTATGCTCTTCAACTGGTGGTCAGGGGTCAAATACGTGCCTGGAGGACAAGGTATGCTTGTAAGAAATGCTGCTGCAAGAAAACCTTGTGTTTCTCATGGCTGTTTTGGGCTGTGGAGGTAGCATTAACAGTGCAGATGGGCTGACTGGCAGATAGGAAGCTCACCTACTTCCAAAGGTGAGAAAAATGTGCATTTCAGATGAACTCATCTGCTCAGCTCTTGGGGCTATTTAGGTTGCCATGTTCACTGCCTCACCCAGAATAAGAGTGTGCCATTAGAGTGGGTCCAAACAGAAAAAAACAACATCCCACAGAAGGTGTATGTATATCTCCTCCCAGAGCAGTGCTCCCTCACTCCCCGCTCAGCCCATGTTCTGGCTCTATTTCCTGCTCTGGCTGTGCCCATTTCTGGGCTGTATCCAGAAAGCTGCCCCTTTTTGCTCAACTGGAAGAGAAGCATCTGGGTACTAAGCCACTCTAGGTAGGCCCTAAACAAGATGCTGGGGCATCCTTCTTTTGGGAAATCATTCTGGCTACACGGCCTTGACACCAGAATGGTGTGAAATGCTTAGGTCAGACGATCAAAGTCTCTCCTCTGTCTTTGAAGCCCTAACTGTCTCTGAACACTTGATATGGGATAGGTATATCATGGATGCCCCAACCCTGGGAGTGTTCAAGGCCAGGTGAGACAGAGCTTTGGGACAACTCTAGTGGGAGATGTGCCCCGGGGGTTGGAGCTGACGACCTTTAAGGTCCCTTCCGACCCAGTCCATCCAACGATTCTGGATGCTGAAGGAAGGGAGAAGCTGATGTGCTTCCATGGTGTCCTGGTTTTGCATGGGAGGTATGAGATCCCAGGTGGAATGTTCATGCACAGAGGTGGGTGTAGTGTATTTTGGAAGCATCATCATAGTGGCTGTGAGCCCTTCACAGGGTTAGCCTGGAATGGGTTGTGTGCCTTGTTCACCCTCATTTCTTCACTCCTCAGCCTTCTTTGTTGGGATGCTCAACTCCTTTGTCCATATCTTCATGTACGGCTACTATGCCCTGGCCAGCCTGGGACCACGGATGCGCCGGCACCTGTGGTGGAAGCGTTACCTGACCATCCTGCAGCTGGTAATTAGCTCCAGGTGTTCACCCCTACCCTCCCATAGCTCAGGTGTGATGGCCCCTGCTGTCTGTCACCTCACTGGCTCCATCTGACTGCTGCCCATGGAGGGCAGCACGTCCCCAGGTGCCTTCATGTGCCACTCTGAGAGGTGAAGCCATGGGTGTCCTGCTCCAAATGCTCCTTTCACAAGACTATTAGAGGCCTTCAGTGACCATCTCAAACTGATTATCCACAGCTTTGTAATGGGAAGGGAAGAGAAAAATTAACAATTGGAGTCATCCTTTTTATGTTGTATATGGAGCACTGAAAACAGAGCTTGATGTGGAGAGGTGGGGGAATTGATTCAGGGAAGCTTTGGATTCTCAGTAGGGCAGCAGATGGGGGAGCCTTGATTCAATTCCTTCAGAAAGGAAGGGGGTCTCTAACTGCAGGCAAACAGGCAAGTTAAAGAGAAATATGTGAATCTTACTCTTTCTCTAGAAAATCCCTTTGGGTTTTCTTTCTCTCATCTCTGATGAAGTTACAAATCTGGAAAACCCTGTGTTTTTTCAAAGATACAGCATAAATGCAATGGTCCAGAGAGGGACAATGATTGTAGGAGAGATTTTTCCCTAAAAGAAAGGCTTTGCAAACCAAAAGTATGCAGTTACGAGGGAAGAGGAAGAGGATATGTGTAAAACCATGGTGCAGTGAAGGCTGCTCCAGAATTCTCACTTAGCCTGCATGGCAAAGCAGAAAAAGAAAATATTGCATGAAATAAAAAGGTATTTGTAATGCAAATTATAGCACAGGAAAAAAAATATTTAATAGCTCTTTGTTAGGTAGAACTCATTGCTTCAGGGTATTGAGACAGGTGACTTAGTAAAATTTAAAAAAAATATTAATGTTGAATGTTTAAATTAATAAAGGTAATATCTGTAGTTCCTCTCTGCAAGTTAAAATACAAATCAAAATAATTATGGGTATAATAACCTGATTACCACTGGAGAAGAGGAATCTCCCACCTTCAGTTTCCATATTCCAGCATCTCAGTTACTGCACTGTGGCAGAGAAATGGGCCAAGGGCAGGACAGGCTGGGTTGGTTAAACCTCCAGGTTTGATGGACATCTTTCCTGGTGGGAAAACACTGCTAAACTTGACAGGAAGGTTTCCAGGGATGTCAGGAGAGACAAGCAGGTGATCCTGTGTGTTGAGGACACTGCTGGGATGTTGCGATAGCTGTGATGGTCTCAATGGCCAGCTGAGGTGTATCTCATGTAGGTTCCTTAATCTGGATGCTTCTTTTTTCCATCTCTTCCAGTGCCAGTTTGTGGCCATTGCTGCTCATTCTTCCTACAACCTCTTCACAGAGTGCCCCTTCCCTGATGGCTTCAACACTGCAGTCTTCCTCTACATCCTCAGCCTCCTGGCTCTCTTCCTACGCTTCTACTATCAGACCTACATCAGGGGAAAGCGGGAAAAGCTGACTTGAAGGAAATCAAAAAGGACAGAGAGCACAGCCTGATGAACATGAGCATTCTCTGCTGCTTGTGACCTGGTTTCAGGAAGAAAATGTATCTGGGAAGTGTGTGTGAGGCTCATGTCTTGCCTTCAAATCTCCCAGGTCAGGGAGAAGAAAGCAATGATGTAAACTCAGGGATTAAGGAACTGAGGGGCACACTTAATTAAGCTGAGGCCAAGCTAAGCCAAGTAGCCACCACCATTGCAGGCTTTGGGGACATTTGCAAGATAAAATCTTTTTCCCTTCCACCTTTAACTCGGTGTCCAAGGTCTAGCAGCCAGCTACAACTCCCTGCCTCATTTCTCTTAGGCTGTAGAGGGTTTCTTTGCATCTACAAAACTATCTAAGCTTGGTGTTGTAGGTCAGGCAGGCTCATGTGCCTCCAGCCTGGAAATCAATGTCCAGGTAGCCGCAGAGGCCAGGAATCCATAGGGACTGCAGGATGTACGCTGAATTCCACCCTGTTCTGCTAAGAAAGCTCCTACTAGGCCTGGGGTGGTCCTGATGGTTTAAATTCTTATCAGTATAAGCAGCAAGGAAATTGGACATTAGATTGTCTGGCTGGACAGGTGTCTTCACTGTCCTGAAGCTAAAGAAGGCATTATTAGCACTTTCATCCTAATAAGAAACCAGTGTGCTAAGAGTCACCATGTCCCATTTTCTGGAATGCTTATTTCCCTCTGTTTGCTCTCATAGCAATAGAGCATTTTAATGCATGATGATACTTGGTATTTCTCCTTGTAGGTGCCATATTTGAACTAGAAAGAATAGATTGATGTTCCCTATTCATAACTTTTTTTCTCCAATATATTATTTTTAATACTGTTATTTTTAAATTTTGCTTATTGTCAAACATAAAGAGTTTAACAACACCATAAGCAACCAACCACCTCCACTACCTACTTGTATAAGAATTAATATAAAATGTATAAAATCAATTCATTGGGTAGTGCAAAGCTGCATAGCTCCATTGATTTTAAGACATCACTAACTGGTTTCTTTTTTTTTGCTCCTAAATCAATTACAACTAGAATTTGGCTTATATTTGAACTTACATTCATCTGCAGACTGTTAAATATTGTTAAAGTTTTGATGTGGTAGTACTTTGAAGATCCTAATTAAACTACAAAGTGGTAATTATTGATTGAATCCTGCTCAGTTGATTATAACTGGTACTACAGAGTAGTGGTATTTTGTGAAACACAAAGGGGTTGAAGGAGAGGGTTGGAATTAGTGACATGATGTGTTGCCATTGCCAAGCCAAATCCAGCTCAAATGTAAGAAAGTCCAACTCCACTGGGAATGTCCAGAGGACTAGAGCTGGCCTGAACCTAGCAAATGGATGTACCCAAAAGACCTGTGTGCTCTACAACAATCTGGAGTCGAGTGGCTGCAAAAAATAAATTCAATTTGTTTGTCGCTGCTCTGTGCTTGTACCCAAATCCTTTCCTTCAGCCCCTCCAGACACATGTGGAAGATAAAACAATATTCTGCCATTCCTCACTCTCCTCCCTTCACACACAGACACAAAGGATTTGTTCACACTGTCACAAGGTCACATCATCAATGTCCTTCCTTTGATTTAAGCAGTCTCTCTTCTGGTTGTCACTGGTGAGTATGAGAATCACTGCATCTGTGCTAGTTGGTTTTCTTCCTGTCAGCTATTTTTCCATGCTAATAAATTAATACATAGTGACACTTTCAAATACTGGAGTTCCTCTTCTGTCAGAATTTTAACTAGCAAATCCCTTTGGTGGGTCCTTCATTCCTCCCTTTGTTTGGAAAGACAGGAAAATGGGTCTGCTATGTATCTAACATATTCATGTGGAGGGTTTCGCTTGGGGGCTGTCCAGAGCTGAAGACTCAGTGCAAGTAAAGCTGTTTCATTACTCCAGTCCACCTAATGATTCATTTATGACCCTCTCCTGCTTAAACATCAGTACCTTTGGCCCCCTAGTTTCGTGGTAGAGCGTTTCCTGCAGCTGGCTAAATTATCTGTGCTCACAAAGCAATCTAATGCTCTTTCTCCTATACATGAGTAGATTTCAACCTCAGTTTCCCCTCACTTTAATGTTTTCAGAATGTAGTAACTAAGTTCACTCATAATTTTATACCAGAATAAACATCATGTATTTTGATTTTCCTTGATTCATGACTGCTTAAAAATTGGAAATGAGTGCAAAATCTGAATGAGATTACTCCTTGGTTTTCCACTCTTAAAATACATTAATTTGTAAATGCGCCATTTACCTTTTTTTTACGGCAGCCTTTGCAGCTTAATTTGTGTCCATGTATGACAAAGCAATGGATTCTGGAGTGTCACTGGCCACACAGGTGGTAACAAAACATGAAAGTACAAATCTGTCACTTGACAGCTTGAAGTGACTGATCACCTAAATCAGACACCACTGTCACCACTTGTTCTAGACATGAAACTTTTGATTTATTCCTGTCCCTCTTCCTCACAGCCTGAGTGAGTGGCCTGATCTTGAAAGAGTAAGAGCTTTTTGCTGGTGTGACTTTGATGGCACAAGATGAAAATGAAGTATTTTCAGTTGACTAATAAGGAGGATTGAATTTGCCCAGAAACACCATGCTTTCCATACAGGAACAAACACTGGCATGGAACACAGCTGTTACAGAAGCATTGATGCAAGCAAAATTCACTTGTGAGAATATTTGCACTGGCAGTGAAGAAAAAACTGCAGTGGTATAGCTGAGTGGCTCTGCAGGTTACTCCTTCAGATTGTCCTTGCTTGTCTTCATTCTCCTGTTTTAAAATTGGGTTGTCCAGTTGGAACTGTCCAACTGGGCAACCCTGTTGTGACAAAAAACCTGAGAGCACAGCTATGTGCTTCTGGAATTTAACAGAGAATAAAGGCATTGAATGGGAATTTGCCTCTAAAATCAAGTCCCTGGAATTAAAGATTACACCACAGCAAAGAACTGGAAGTCAAAAGGGGATGGGCATTATAAATTGTAAGCTTGGATGGCTCATGCTATCTGATAGAGTCCACAGCTTTGAGGATGGGTTGAAAATACCCACAGCTGGATTTGTGAAAAACCTCTGGGCCAAATGCTACTTCTACATATGAGTGACAAAGGCTGCAGTTCCTCTGGAATGAGGCTGGCACAGCTGTGTGGAAAGCAACACGCTTAGCTCCACAGCCGTGTTTGCTGGGAGCAGGAGTGTTATTCAATCTTAACAGATGACTTTTGGGGGTATGGAGGTGTGTAAGTCTTCCCCTTACAAACTATGGGTAATTTGATGTTCGTAGAGCAGATTACGTGAACAAGATTTAAAGCACAGTGCAAGTAGGCTGCTGAAATGAATAAGCTTGATATCTGGTAGTGCTCAGCATCTTTCCTGCTGTTCCAGTCAATGTAAATTATGGATGTTCAGATCAAATTACTTTTGAATTAACCAGACCATTTACTCAGTGCTTACTTTCTCTCTGAAGATAAATGAGAGGGATTCTCATTTTAATCAAAACAAAATACAGAAAAGAAAATCAATTACTATTTAATGTTTTTTCCATCCCTGTGTGGTGGAAAGTTTCCAGAGGAACTTGGGCTTAAAATTGCAAAGCAATATAAAATGCAGGGATATGGTTGGGTTTTAGCTATTGGATATTTTTATTTACTATCAGAAAACATGGCTGTGTTGTTTTTTTTAAAAAGGCAAAAGAATTACTCTAAACAATTAAACAAGTAAAAGCAGAATACAGTAGATTGCTTCAACCAAAAAATAAAAATCTGTTGATACAGATGTAAACCACCTAGAAGCCAAACATTTAGAAATATCAGCCAGCCCTATATATAGAACAGTGTGAATGTGCTGAATTCATTAATGAATAGTTTCATGGATTAGGGCTTGATAAATGGAGTGCTCCATCCAGATGTTTACTGTGATTTGTCAATGGTCTGGTACTTAACCCTCCTGGAAATACGAGTCTTTTCTCTAGGATCTCTCCTGGGGACTGTGGCAGTGCCTCTCTCTGGCCTGAATCATCTCAGGACAGGATCAGGCTGCCGAGGAATTAACTAAGTGGCAGAGGCATGAATTTTCCTTTAACCCTTTTGGTTTCCTCGCACCTTCATATGATTTCCTCACCATCTGCCACAACCTTGCCATTATTTAGTCAACACATGGAAAAGGAAAAAAAGGAGTCATCCATGTCATCCCAGGGTCCCTGTAACCACAAAATGTGCCGAGGGACACACACGGAGTCGCATCAGCACTGAGGAGGAAAAGGGCTGTGGGCAACCTCAAGAGCTTGGTGTGCCCCTCTTCACCACTCAGCGTGTTTTTATTTTTGTGATGCTACCACTCCCTGTCAGTGACAAGGATGACCCAAGAGGTAGTATTTGTGAGAAGACTGATGTCCTCAAGGTGTCCTTGGTCAGGGTACCAGAGAGTGTGGTGTGTGCAGGAGTGACTTTGGGTGTGGGTAGGTGAATGCAGCCCCTGCAGACCATCCCCATGGCTCATTTCTCACTATGTGGGACCTCTCCATGGGATGGGTCCTTCATCTCGCTGTGGGACACTGAAGGACAGCTCCCAGCAGCCACACCTGCTGTGGAATGGCACAGTGGGAGCTGCAGTGAATGCTAGGTTTTGTTGTGGATGTGCAGGACTGTAAAGGACCAATTTTCTGTGTTCAACTTCTGGCTAAATCGCAAGTATGTAGACAAATAAATTATTTTCAGGGACTGCCTGGTTAAAACATTAGTAGCACATCTCAACACTATTCTTCCCTAGTCTGCATGTCATCCTTTCTCTCCAGTACCTTGTCTTTCTGCTGCTCTTCAAGAGCATGTCTTTACACTGAGCTGAAAAAATGAAGGCTATTAAATAAAAATTGTCCTTTAAAATTCCCTGCTTGGAGTAGATATTCCTTCCCCTTTAACATCATCCTCCCACTTTCTCTTGTCCCTTTTTTCTGCTCTTCTTTTGTACCCACACATACAGACACCGTAATAGATTCTCGGACCTTTTAAAGCTGCAAAGAAAGTAGCTACAAGTTACTCAAATACTGTACAAGCAGCTGCATTCTTCTGATCTATCAATTAATAAGGTACTTTTCTTCATAAGGTTTTCTGCAAGGCTTTAATCCAAGTGAATTTGGGCAAGTTTTATTTTTCTTTGCACTTCAGCATAATCCCATCTGCCTTCAAATTCAGGATGTGAACACTGCAACTTGATACTTAGAAAAGCTAGAAGCTTGAACTAAAACTTAAATTTGGCATACTCCCTGCCAGGCATTCCCTTCTATTGATGAAGGAATGAGAGGCAGCAAGTTACTGCTCTTCTGTGCACTTTATTCTGCTCTGAGTGGTGCCCACTGTCACAGATATCTGAGGATGTTTTCTCCTGAAATAATGAATTGTTATTTCCAAGGCAATGTTTGGAGGAAGAATACCTTTCTGACAGAGCTGGAAAACCAGAATAGTTTTCGAGTATGCAAGGCCTGCTCTGCTTGTAATCCCTGATATGCACTGGTAGCAGATCCCTTATTGTGGTGCACAGCTGTATCTGTGGTGTGTCTGTATTTATCATGGGTTTTGCTAGTCTCAGAGGGTGTTATCCTAAATTTTGCAGGTTTGATATGTTGCCCCATTAAATAGCTGTAAATTAAAGGGCCATTATTTTGAAAGAAGAACTTATCTTCTACATAATTTTGCTTCTTGAAATCACTGGTGTGAGTAAAGCTGTCCTTTATTCACTGGAACAGTGGCAAAACAGGTTGGCAATTCTGTCTTTAGTTCTTGGAGATAAAATGCAAGCCACCACGTACAGAAACCATTTAATACAATTATGGTTTTCTATTTTGGCACTGCTTTTAATATCTTTGGGCAGATTTCATACACAGAGGTAATGTTTTAAATTAGGGGAAAGCCACTAGTCACAGTGAATCTAGGTGAAGTGTTTGATGGAGCTATGAGTAGTAACATAAGGATTTAGGAAAAAATGTCACTGTGATGCCAACTGGAAGGCAAAATCGTCACAATCAATTTTGTTAGAAAACCAGAAACTCCACAAGATTGGAGTGGTGTGTATATACCTATAGGTTCTAATTCTACAGTATTTATATACATATTTAGTGTATTTCCCTGCAGACCTTGAGTAGAATAGATGAGTTCATGGCTTGAATACAGCAAGTAAGATCTTAGCATTGACTGTATTACTGAACTGAAGTAATTGAAGTCATTGTGTCAAGCTACTCATTTCTCTCTAATAAAATGTGCATCTACTGAAATGTTTTAGCCTTGGATGTGGGTTTAAGAACGCATCAATGGGAAAGTGTTTGCAAATGTTAACATGAAAATAGCACGGCAGAAATGTCGTTTGCTGGCTTGGGAAGCATCTTTTGGAGCCACAGTAATTCAGCGAGAAACTCGAGGGAGCAGAAGTGGGGAGAGCAAACGCAAAGTGGAAAACAAACAAACAAAAAAAATAATATATATATACCCAATCCCTTCCTTTGTTCTTATTCCGCTGGGGAATGGAGGGGGGGACGACACACGCCAAGAGGAGCCCGGAATCCCCGAGGCTTTCAGTTCTGATTTTCATTAGAGGTGAGCGGGGGTTTGCAGCCAGAAGCGCTCGCTGCCAGCAAATCCACGTGCGGGGGTCGCTCCGTAATCGCCCGGCGCGGCGGGGGCGCGGGCTGCGGAGCGGAGAGCGCTGTGCCCCGCGCCACCGGCCCGGAGGGCAGCCCCAGCCCCCTGCCCGGGCGCACGTACTGCCGGGCCGGCCTCCCGCACCTCCGGAACGCTGTCCCCGCCGCGCATCTCCCGCCCGGGCACCTGTGGGTATCCCCACAGCCGGGCCCCGCTGCCCCAGCGCGTCCGCGCTCCGACGCGCAGCCCCTCGGCGGGGCGGAGCGCGGGGGGATGCGGGATCCCAGCTCCCCGGGGGATGCTGCCGCTGCCTGCGTGGGGGCGCGGAGCAGGAGGGATCCTCTTTGACGTCAAGCGACCATAATATAATGATCGCTCGTTCATATCCGGGTCCCCGGGCGACTCCCCCGGGCCGCGCTCGGCCGCGCTCGGCGGCGCAGCGAGGGTAGGCGGGTCGGCAAGGACAGGGCAGGGCAGGGCAGCGCAGCGCGGCCGCCCGCAGGTGGCCGGCGGCGGCAGCGGGGCGGCGAGCGCAGCATGCCCGCCGCCTCAGACGCGCCTGCCTCCCCCCGCCGCCGCCGCCGCCGCCGCTGCTGCCCATGGAGATCGCGCTGGTGACTTTGGAGAACGGCGGCACCACGGCCATCGCGGGAAGCGACGATCCCGCCGCCGCCGGCGGCCGGGCGCGCTGGCGGGGCCACTTGCTGCACGTCGCCGGCTCGCCCCAGCTGAGCGACGGCAAGGAGAGCGCCCCGCCGGCCCCGCCGCCGCAGCCGCCGGCCGCGGAGGACGAGCAGCGAGAACGGCCCCCGCCGCCTCCCCGCGCAGGAGGCAGCGGCGGGCCGCCGCGTCCGCCGCCTCGCGCAGCGCGCCCCGCCGCGGACATGGGGCCGTCCGAGGAAGGGGGACACCGCCGGGGCATGGCCATGGCGGCGGCGGGCGACGAGGAGGAGGAGGCGGCGGCCAACCCGGGCGCCATGCACCACCAGCGGGTGCTGATCAACATCTCGGGGCTGCGCTTCGAGACGCAGCTGGGCACCCTCAACCAGTTCCCCGACACGCTGCTGGGAGACCCCGACAAGCGCATTCGCTACTTCGACCCGCTCCGCAACGAGTACTTCTTCGACCGCAACCGGCCCAGCTTCGATGGCATCCTCTACTTCTATCAGTCCGGGGGCAAGCTCCGCCGGCCCGTCAATGTCTCCATCGACGTCTTCGCCGACGAAATCCGCTTCTACCAGCTGGGTGAGGAGGCCATGGAGCGCTTCCGGGAGGACGAGGGCTTCATCAAAGAGGAGGAGAAGCCCCTGCCCCGCAATGAGTTCCAGCGCCAGGTCTGGCTCATCTTTGAGTACCCCGAGAGCTCCAGCTCAGCCCGGGCCATCGCCATCGTCTCCGTGCTGGTTATCCTCATCTCCATCATCACCTTCTGCCTGGAGACCCTGCCCGAGTTCAGGGACGAGAGGGAGATGCCCGTACCCCTGCCCCCACAAGGTGGAGGTCTGAATGGCACGCCTGGGGACTCCCCACCCATGCAGCCACCCAGTAGCCTGGCTGACCCCTTCTTCATCATCGAGACCACCTGTGTGATTTGGTTCACTTTCGAGCTCCTCGTGCGCTTCTTCGCCTGCCCCAGCAAGCCCGAGTTCTCTCGCAACATCATGAACATCATCGACATCGTGGCCATCATCCCCTATTTCATCACCCTGGGCACCGAGCTGGCCCATGAGCAGCAGCAGCCCGGGGCTGGCAGTAGCAATGGGGGTGGGGGCCAGCAGCAAGCCATGTCCCTGGCTATCCTCAGAGTCATCCGCCTGGTCAGAGTCTTCAGGATCTTCAAGCTCTCCAGGCACTCCAAGGGGCTGCAGATCTTGGGGCAGACTTTGAAAGCCAGCATGAGGGAGCTGGGCCTCCTCATCTTCTTCCTCTTCATTGGGGTGATCCTCTTCTCCAGCGCCGTGTACTTTGCTGAGGCTGATGATCCCGAGTCTCATTTCTCCAGCATCCCTGATGCTTTCTGGTGGGCAGTGGTAACCATGACTACTGTGGGCTATGGGGACATGAGACCTGTCACTGTGGGGGGCAAGATTGTGGGCTCCTTGTGTGCCATCGCGGGTGTGCTCACCATTGCCCTCCCTGTCCCTGTCATTGTGTCCAACTTCAACTACTTCTACCACCGAGAGACTGACCATGAAGAGCAGGCTATCCTCAAAGATGAACACAGTAGTGCTCAGGGCAGCACTGCGGGGGGAGAAGTGAAGAGAAGACCCAGCAAAAACTCTCTGAATAAATCTGTTGTGCACTTGGAAAACAGTGAGGAGTTCAACAATGGCACCAGCTCCTTAGAGAAAGCCAATATCAAAGCAAAAAGTAATGTAGATCTGAGAAAATCCCTCTATGCTCTCTGTCTGGACACCAATAGGGAAACAGACCTGTGAGGAGAGGAGATGGTTAGAGTTCAGAGGGGCAAAAGGATTTTCTGGTGTCAGAAACTTGCTACTATAATTATTCTTTTAGTACCAATTAGTTTTTTAAGTCAGGCTGTATTTTATAAATTGATCACTGTCCTGAGCAATCCTCCAGGAATACATATTTTTATGTTCTTTTTCCATGACACAAAGGGTCACTTATTTTTAAAATAGACTAAGAATAAGCTACACTCCATGATGCAGGAGCTGGTAAATTATGACAGTGAAAAATCTAATTTGTAGAAACTTATTTTAGCAAGTGGTCATTGTTTTTTAAATGGGTAATTTGTAACCAATTCAGTTGCTCCGCGTTTAGTGTAAAGAACTGGGGGGATGTGTGTGTGGAGAATGAATGGATTGGGGATGGGAGGGGGGAGGTTGAGGGGTTTTGTACTGTAGTTTCAAATTGAAATTATTCAAATATATTTTGTATCTGTATGACTGTATTTATGGTTGAAAGGAGATTTCTAATTCCTGTGAAGTATGATATCATTAAAGCACTAGGAACATTAGCAAATCAGCACTTTCTGAGTTTTCCACTTGTAATCAGTACAGATCTGGTTGTCTTGTATGTGAAGTGAATTTGGTGCTTTGAACCCTAGAGCAGAAAACTTCTGTTGTCATTGATATGTTAGTTTCTTGTGAGCCTTAAATTATTAAATATTGTAGATATACTTCTTTATAAATAATTTTATTAGTTACCTTCCTGTTTCAGAATTTCCAAGTAATTCAGTCATGTGCTTACTGGCCTCACTCAAAATCAAAAAAGTATGTGCAGCTTTTGTTTTGTTGGGGGTTTTTTTTGGGTTTTTTTTTGGGTTTTTTTGTGGTTTTACAGTTTTATATCTTTGTTATATTTTGAGACCTAAAGGAAAAAATACACTGTCTGCTGTTACTGGTTTCAATCCAGTGCACAACAGATCGAAAGTGATCTGAACAGATTTTCAAGTGCACAACAGATCAAAACCATGAGGGAGTGGATAGGCACAATGAGAAAGTAGAGTATTGAGTGCAATACCTGCAGAACTGCTTTCATTGTACACTCCAGATTCCTTGAGCGTGTGTATCAGTCACCTTTATGTATGCACACACCATTTGTGTACACAGTTCTCTGGTTTTAGTTCTCTCAGACCAGGAGTGGATGGCACTTCAGGAGTCGAACGTGGTGTGCTGTGCTGCTTCAACAACCATCTCATGGCTTTTCTCTTGGACACAGATGGAAAGCACCATCTTTTCATCAAAACACACCCCTGGTTTCTTGTATTTCCAAACAAAACCTTCTCAGCGCTGTGGATTTTGCAGTTGAAGTGTTGTTGAAAGACGAGTGACACACTGCCTTCATCAGGATCACAGCTAACTCTGAAGACTGATACAAAGTTGCTCCTTTAGCTCAAAGAGCTTTCTTACAATTTCTCTTGCAAAGGACATCTCTGTTTCCCCCTCCAACTTCTGTTGTATTGCTGAAAGATGTTCCATTCCTTTCCCACATCCTGTGGCACAGCAAGAGTAGCAGAGAAGGCTTGATTGTCAACATCACTCAAGGTTTGTTTCTAGCAAATTTTCTAATATGAATAAGTGCTAATATAAATAAGTTGGGATTATAATTTACTCAAGTACCTCATCTATATCCTGAGATAAATTGAGATCAGAGCAGCGCTGTGACTTTCTCTCCCCCAGATACAAATGCTGTTTTCGCGTCCCTGACTGTGCTCTTTAATGATAATGCCCAAATGTGTGATGATTTTTTTCTCTCCTAGTCAGTAAAATAACTGCAAAGCAAGTCATACTTTTCATGAACAGGGTGCTCAGCCCAAAATCCAGGGCTGAGGAGGAGTTTGAATGTCATAATAGAGAACAGCATATTTCTCATTAATTTTAGAATTTTAGATGTTGGTTTCTTGGTTGGTTTGCTTGTTTATTTAGATGTGGAATGAGGCTGTAATTTGCTGAGGAGCTGTCTGAAACAGGACTGATGGGAAAAGCACCCAGTGCAGCTGCACTCCAGACTCGGGGAGGTCTCCAGTTTGCCTTGGTGGGAGTTGTTGCACCACAGGGAAGTGCAGAATCTGCTCTTTGGTGAGGCTGAATCTCAGATGAAACAAAGAAGTGGTGTAACTCTGCTGCACATGCTGAGACCTAGGTCACTGATGGACTTAGAGTAAGGCTTTTTGCTCAGACAAGTGCTTTGCTTTGCTCTCGGTGATCACATCCATCTGGCTCGCCTGAATAAGCATCAAACAACTGCAGTGAGTCTTTCAGGATAAAGTTTTGGAGTGGTCTTTCTGGAACTACTACCCTCACCTGCCTGACCACCAAACTGTGTGTTCCAACTGTGTGTTGTGTTGGATTGGGCTGTCAGCTCCTCGGAGCAGGGGCACTGTGTCCACACAGCCACTTGTTTGGAATCCTGTGTAAGGATTTTAGGGATCTGGATTACATCTCTGTAGTAAGTGCAGCAAGCTGATAAAGGTGAAAGTAGATCCAGGGCTATGGGGCATGCGTCAAGCTGATCTTGGTGACACAAAGGGAAGACCTTCCTCCCTTCTTTTTTACTTTTCTTCTTCCCACCGTGTGTCTTTTTATTGCTTTCACTGAACTGGTTCTCTCCTCATGGAAGTACAAGTTCAAGTGCTGCCTTCTCTTCCTGAGCTCACTCATCTGACAGGAAATTAAATTCAGTCTTCTGTTTGAATATGCTGTATTTTTCCTTAACAAAACAAGAGAACTTTCCAATAGAAAGAAAACAAATCATTTTCAAAGTGTGATTAAAAATATTTTCTTGGCTTGGGTTTCTAAGCACTTGCTAAGCACAGTTCAGGCAAATTCAGTATTGACACCTTAAATACATAATTTCTATTGGCTTATAGGGCAGTAAAGGATTTGCTTTCTAATGACAGGTACTGCTGCCAATCACTAATGTGACCAGGAACATGGTCAGAGCCCAGTTCAACAGAGCGTTTAGCACAGACACATGCTTAAACCAACACAATTTTCAGCAGGTGTTTTAGATGCACTGATTTTTATGATTTTGAGGTTTGAGATCGTGAGTTGAATCTGGATGTTCCTTGTGGGTCCCTTCCAGCTCCAGGTATTCTTTGATTTTCTGATGGTTATTTAAAGATAAGTTATAAACAGGGCTGAAACCTTGGAGCCATAGGTTCCCAATGGATTTTGCGGTAAATATGTGGGTACATGGTACAGTCACATAATGTGCTGATGCAGATTTGTGCTGCAGAAGAGTGTGAGAGTAAGAGAACTGAATCCCTCCAAGAAGGCTCCTGGAAATGTGAGACAGGAAGAGAGTTTTCTCTTCCTGGCCCATCACAAGACAGAAATATACCCTAACCACTATTGATGTTATGTTAGCTGACCTGCAATGAACAGCAGGCTGAATCAGGCGTTTTTGCCATATCAAAAGCATCTATACCAGAACTTAATAGCAAATCATTGCAGACATCAAAACCCCAAACAAACCCAGCCAAACAACAAACCAACAGTTTCTGGTAAACTCTTTTGGCTAGGAGCTGCAACCGAGAAGCTCCCTCACCCCACACATGCTGTAATTATTAATGGCTTGTCCTCTCACTTGGGACACTGCACTAAAATGCATTCTTGGGGGTGCTGAAGTGAATGTTCATTTGGGTCACCAATAATGTAAGTTTAATTTGCTTAGCCTGGCCCCAAGGGGAGTCCCCATTTCCCTTTTACTTTTCCATCATCCTAAAAAACCATAAAACAGTACCAAGCAGTTATATAACACCATTCATCTCCCGGAGCTCTATGAACAATTGCACCACGCTCTATGTACAGGCAGGGTAAAGAAAAGGCTGTGGAAGGGAAGACCAAGCCTTTCAAAGGGGGGCAGGGCTCAGAGAGGCACAAATAGGAGTGGGTTTGGCTGGACTGAGAGGTCTAAAATGTGTATCTCAGGGAAGAGAAATTCCCCCTGTGGTCTCTTGCATGACTCTGGGTGGCTCTGCAGGCAAGGACTGGATGCCAGCAGCTGTGCATGGTCCATCTGGTGGGGTCACTGAACACAGAGGGGACTTAATGGTCCTCTGAGCAGCAAAAACAAATCCCTCTTTTGTGTGCTCTTTTCATTTGGGCTCTGTAAGGAGAACATGGCAGTCCTGCTGGCTGTTCCCTGGCCTCTCCAGCTGCAGACACTGCTGATTTGTGGAGGTGGTGCTGAGACATTCTCCAGGCACTGCCCTTCACCTCCCATTAGGAAGCAAAGGACATTCAGAACACTCTCAGGGGGAGACGTGTGTGTGCACAAAAGGTCTGGCACTTCTGAAGCCTACCCCAGAATCACTGAGGTTGGAAAAGACCTCAAAGGTCAGTAAGTCTGACCTGTGACAGATCACCACGTTGTCAACTGAACCAGAGCACTGAGTGCCACGTCCAGTTGGTTCTTGAACACCTTTGAGGATGGTGACTCCACCACCTCCCTGGGCAGCTCATTCCAATGCCTGACAACCTTTTCTGTGAAGAAATTCGTCTTCCTGATCAGTGTTAGTGAAGCTGGTGCTGAGGTCAAATCGGGAGAGCGTTTAGTGGCATGTGACAGTGCCACTGAGCTGTGGTGAGGGACGAGCTGCCTAGCTGACATCTGATCCAGCCATTTAGCAAGATGCCATGAACAGGAGTGGAATTTGGCAGGGGCCTCAGGGTGGTTGCTGCCATATTTAGGGAATAACGGAAGGAGGGCTTTAAGCACCTCATCAAGGCTTTGGCCTTCCCACTTGGCCAGCAGGATTGGACTGTTGTGTGGCAGGCAGGGTGTGGGGGAAGCCTCAGGAATAATGAAGCTGATCCCCTGCAAGACAGAGGGGCAGCAGGGAAATGGGGAGATGAAGCTCTAACAGCATCTGCCTGCCTTTGGTTCAGCTTTAGCTGTGTCACTCTGTGACCACCAGCCTCACTCCACAGCTACAAATGTCCAAAAAATGAAATAGAAAAGGTGTTTATAATAATCTAGCCTGTGACCAATTAAAATCATTGTTCCAAAATCATTCTGCCATGACATTTGCTATATACAGCACCACTAAATATTTTTTTAGATTGTGCCATTTAGTCTTTTCACAGGTTCAGTAATGTTTGGTTTTTGGTTGCTTTGTTTGTAGTTTGTGGGGGGTTTTTTTCTTTTTTTTTTTTTTTTTTTTTGTTGTTGTTGTTTTTTGGTTTTGGGTTTTTTTTTTTTTTTTACTTTCTTTCTGTATACATTAACTGGTCCCCAGTTCTTCTGATCAGCTTGCTAAAGTTCTGTTTCTCTGGCCTAAATTTGGGACCTCAGTGTGCTGACGCTCTACAGTGGAACTCGGTCATGCCACCTGATGTCAGTGTGTCAGCTTATTAAATGGAATTTCTCCAGTAACTCTGTGGGTCCATTGACCAGAACACACCTAATATTTATATGATTAAATAGTGTGAAAAATGTGGTTATAGCAGCCATTGAAATAATATGAAATAAAAATTTTTCTGTTAATTGGAATAGGAAAAAAATAAAGCTGATAATGATATGACTAAGGAATTAATTGGAATTAGAAGTTTTGAAGAGAAATACCAACTTGTTTAAAGAAAAAGAAGGCTTCAAACTGACAGGAAGTAGGTTTAGACTGGATATTAGGCAGAATTTTTTCCCTGTGAGGATGGTGAGGCTCTGGCACAGGTTGCCCAGAGAAGTTGTGCATGCCCCAGAAATTACCTGATGGAATAGTAAAATGACTATCCTTCCTAGATGGCAACAAAGTGTTTTCATTAGAGCTTCTGCTTCCTAGCACACAGTCTTTATGGTTACTGCAGAATTAATAATTTTCCACATAGAATTTAGAATTTACCAAAAGTCATCTGCAAGTTGTCTTCTGTATAAATAATTCACAGTCATCAGGGGGATGTTTCCAAATAAATCAGTTTTAACACTTGATTGACAAGAAGAAGAGAAAAAAGATAGATATATCTTATTTCTGTGCTTTAACTGTGGTGTGTCATGGAGATTGTCATTTGCAGTATTCTGGAAAACAGCTGTGGTTGTCTTAAAATTGACATTGGAAAGAATGTTGCTGGAGAATCACCTTGGATGAAATCATACAGGTAACAATTTCCCTCTCAAGAGAGTGATTACTCTGACCTTCTCCAGTTTTCTGACATAAATGTTGAAATATAAGGTCTCTTCTCTCAAATCCCATGTCCAACCCTGGCCAAGAATGGTGGTTTCCTCACTCCTGTGGGCAATGAAACCTTGCAGCTCTTCTCATGACAGTACAGCTGCATAATAAATACTCATGTCAGGGTTGATGTTTCCATGAAGATGCTGGAGGAAAATACGGGATTTAAATGGACTACATTGGTCTAAGGGTCTGGTGTGTAGAAGGAGCAGGTAGAATTTCTTCCTTTGCATGAGTTTTGACTGGAGTGAGAACTCCAGTGGTGGTGTCCTGGCACGCAGTAATTCCCCTACAAAATATCACAAAATCCATACCAGGGCTTGATCTCCCTCTCCCTCCTCCCTGCTTAAGTATAGGTAGAAATGCCTGTGATTG